TTTTCCTGATACTTTGCCAGTTTTCTCGATTCTCGATTTTCACGATTTAAAGTTGAAAATCCTCGGAAATCCAATTCTTGGAAATACCAATTAAAATAATATTCCCTTGCGATCAAATGCTATATACAAAAATTCTCGTGAAATTGTTGCGTGTCACGTCAATCAACTGGCACATAGAAATTGTGGGAACAGGTGGTCTCGTTTTCTTTCGTTCTCTTCGGACAGAACGTCGATTAGCATAAAATAACGATAAAATGAGGGAAAGCTATTTAATTGTTTAGCAATGTCGATAACAAAATAAAATTTTATTACATTTGTCTAATTACATAATAGCACATATAAACATTTTATTTAATGTATTCTTTGTAATATTGTATACTTCTGTAGAATATTTCAGGACATATTTTATTACTACATGCTGCGATGATCATCGAGTATCAATCACGACACATCAAAGGACGATAGTAACGTGAAGTACGACATCGAGCTTTGCACAATCTAAATGAGAACAGTTAAAGATATATCTTTTCGGTTTGATTTCTTTATCACGTTTGTCAATTGATTGGTTTTACCGTCGTGAAATTTTCTAGAGAAAACACGTATATCTTGCCGGCAGTCAAAGTACTAGCTTCAATACTTTTTCTCATCACGAACATGAGCAGTCTTTGTTCCCTTACGGGTATGGTATACCATGAGCCGCGATATCTATAAAATTATCATTATTAGTAAAAAGTAAACACACATAATCCCAGTGAAAAATGCTTCGTCGAAACGATGTCGAATTGACATCGACACTATCGGATTAGCATCGATTCGTCATCAATTTGACGGTGTCGGTGTCGATTCGACGAGTCATTTCTCGCTGGGATATCATTGTACAAAGTCAGCACAATAAATAAGAAATAGAGTTAACTCTAGAAAAATCAATTCTAGCAAATAATTAAATGAAGTAATATCATACGAGCCATTGTTATTTAAATAATTAAATTCTTGCAAGTACAGCGTTTCTATGAAAATACATGTATATCTTTCAACCGATCAAATTATTTTAAATCGATCATTAATTCATTTCCAACTTAATATTGTCTCTTACATCTTGTCACGAGTTTCAAGGCTATGATCTATCACTTTTTGTCCTTGGAAGCTGAAGCAGAACAAATGAAACAATTGACCAAAAATGAAGAGAATGTATCTTATCGCTTCCGCTGAATCTTGTAGTTGTATCGAGAGCTTGAACACGAGGAAGGTAAAATCCCGTTGTAGTTCTTTACCAAATAACAAAATTCTTGTATTTGCTTGTTTGTAAATCACTCACTTGTACTAAGGTAATGCTCAAGCCGATTGTGACGAACAGAAGTTGCACGGCGAACGATATCATGAAGGCACTCTCAAGAAATTGAGTAAACCTATGATAAGAATATAATAATGACGGTTAAATATCTCAATAAAAATCAAATAAAATATTGCAATTTATTCGGTTTATTAAAGATCATTTAATATGCAAAATTAACAAGAGGAATATATGTTACTATTTTTACACGCTCACTGCAAAGCCTTATGATGAGCGTAAATCGAAATCACAACATTCTTGTGATACATAGCTTCCGGATGATCAATGATATTTTTTTCCATAATACTACATTTAGATGACACGTGCTCAAATCTAAATCTGTAAGTAAATCGCGTAAAATAACGTTATTAAAAAGTTTTGAGAATTAATTTCTGTTCCTTTTAAGTAATATATTGCAAGAACTAAAGACTATTGTTACGTTATATTTACTCCTTGGTACAAAGCATTTTATTTATCTCCTAATAAATAATCATTACCCAACGATGGCAAAAAGACCGCAGATATGTTCGACATAAACAAAAAACATGGTATCATGCGCGACTAGTCCAGTCATGCATATAGTGCAGGCGATCATCATATGGAGAAAAATATAGAAGAAATATTGATTTTCATCAACGAAATAGTACGCCGGATATGGGAGCTTTAAAGGACGGGAAGCATTCAGTGGAAACAGTACATCCAAAATGCGTGGTACGAGAGAAGTTGTTGCAAATATAACGGTAGACACGTAAACGAATACTGCAACAAGAACAAATTCGGAATATTAATTTTTATTTTGTTTAAACAACCCAGAGAAAACAGATAATTTTATTTTAATTGTTTGATTGCATAAGAAAATGAATTTCGCTAATTCTTAACTGTTACTTACAGCCATATATTAACGCATACCATCTGCCTCTCTCGGCATACTTTCTCATAATGTCGTGTTCTTCCTTAGTCTCGAGTATATCCCAGTCTACGAATAAGCGATCTGTGAGATCTTTAATCTAGAAACATCATCGATATGTTCGAAATTCGGATACAATATTCTCAACGGATTTAACAACATCGTCAATAGAATATAAGACTTTAATAATGCTACATCTGTGACTCAGGAATAAAATAACAATAAAACGTACTTTTTCGCTGTTAAATTGATACGTGAAAATTTTCACTAGAATCATCACTCCCAACATATATGGAGGTAAAGTTTCGTAGATACACTGCGCGTTTTTGCATATGACAAATCTTGCCCCCTGGAAACGCGTTCACGTGAAAAAAGAAGTAAAGCATTTTCCTAAAATTATTGCGATGCTTCAATTGAAGACAATTTAACAAGCGCAGAATTTGAGTAAATTTCTGCTATTAATTCTTTCCTCTCTAAAAAAAATTCTTAACGACAGTTAACGTTACCTGTGGAACGAGTGAAGTGGTTGCAAGTATTATTGTAAGCAACAAGGCAGTCAGCCTCTCTTTCGGCTTCTGATAAGGCCACTGGCCGACTAACATGAGGTATTTTTTACTGATATCGTAATAGTAAGCTCTGCTGTGTTCCATACTTCACGAAGAAACGGTCTTCCTGGTACTATAACGTGTTGTCTGAATTTCGAGCCTTCTCTCGTAGGTATTTTTCCCGCAATAAGGGTCGGTTGTAAGTAAATTAATATTTCAGACACCGCTCCGCGACACGTGCGTTCTGCTTTGTCGGAGCGCAAGATTTCACAACGATCACGCTATTATAGTTTTTGTAACTGACAGCCACTTACGCTAAGTATATGTCTCGCGCGTAGACGTAACATATTAATAATAGGTCCGAGTGGACAACTAATCCTTTGGGAAATACTATTTGAATGACTACTATATTGAATACGTTTGAAAATATGATTCAATGGACATTTGTAATTCTACTGAGTTTCAACGAGTAGTTTTCTTTCAAGATGTATATGCAGTGGCCTAAGGGTCGACTTGTCGGGGCAACGTAGAATATCTTTATTTTCAGTTCCTGATACAGTCACGTATCAGTAAACGCTAATACTAAAGACGAGGTCGTAACGATGACTCCATGTAAATTTATTGGCTAAACGGCTCATTTTTTCAAGTGCCCTCTGCAGAACGCGTATCGATCAGAATAAAATAGCGTGACAAAATAAGTACTTTCCCTCGGTAGAAAGCTCCTGCGTGTGTCCAAGTGAGTATTCCAGGTCTCCGGAGAGCTTTGAAAGGGAAAAGTTTTTTATTTAACGTTATCAGTAAAAATATAAAATTGTATTACTTTTTATCTCATTACATAACAAATATAAATGTTATTCTATTCGATACAATTTTGTAACGTTATATTCGCGTGGAACGCTTCTTTTTACTACATGCTGCGATGATCGTCGAGTATCGATCACGACACATCAAAGGACGATAGTAACGTGAAGTACGACATCGAGCTTTGCACAACCTAAATGAGAACAGTTAAAGATATATATCTTTACGGTTGGATTTCTTTATCACGTTTGTCATGTTAATTGTTTTACCGTCGTGAAACTTTCTAGAGAAAACACGTATATCTTGCCGGCGGTTAAGATACTAGCTTCGACACTTTTTCTCATCACGAATAGGAGCAGTCTTTGTTCCTTCGCGGGTATGGTAAACCACAAGCCGTGATATCTATAAAATTGCATTACAAGTCAAACAATTAATTAATTCTTTTTAATTTGTATTGTCTCTTACATCTTGTTGCATGTTTCGAGGCTATGATTTATCAGCTTTTGTCCTTGGAAGCTTAAGCAGAACAAGTGAAATAATTGAGCAATAATGAAGACAAAGTATCTCATCGCTTCCGCTATATCGTGCAAGTTTGTCGAGAGCTTGAACGTGACAAGGGTAAAATCCTATTTCAGTTCTTCATTATATTATTACAGAATTCTAGAATTTGTCTATTGACAAGTAACTTACTTGTACTAAAGTAATGCTCAAGCCAATTGTAACGATCAGAAGTTGCACGGCGAACGATATCGAAAAGGTATCTTCAAGAAGTTTAGCAAACCTATGGTAAGAAAACGACACTGATAACAAATAAATAAAATTTAAATAGAAGCGTCGCTTATCGCTTATCAAAGATTAATTAATTAGTAGCGAGATTAACGATTAAAAAATGTGTTGGAATATTATTGTACACTCACTGTAACGCTTTTCGATGAGCGCGAATCGAAAATACAACGTTTTTGTGAACGTACTTGTTATTCAGACAATCGGTCAAATGTGTTTTCGCATTACTACGTTGTGAAACGTGCTCAAATCTAAATCTGTAAATATTCGCGCGAGACTGTGTTATTAGAGAAAATTAGAGCATTTTGAAAAGAAATTTCTGTTCTTTTCGCAAGTAACGCAAGAATTAAAATAATTATATTATATTCACTCCTTGTACAGAGAATTTTATTTATCTTCTAACTAAAAGAGACGTGATCTCGTTTTCCGTATGAATAATCATTACCCAACGATGGCGAAGAGGCTGCAGTTGTGTTCGACGTAAACAAAAAACATGCTATCGTGCGCGATTAATCCGGTCATGCATAAAGTGCTAGTAGTTAACATATGAAGTAAAATATAGTAAAAATATCGATTTTCGTCAACGAAGTAGTACGCCGGATATGCTAACATTATTGGACGGGAAGTATTCAATGGAAATACAACATCCAGAATGCGTGGTACGAGAGAGGTTGTTGCAAACGAAATGGTAGACACGTAAACGTATGCTGCAACGAAAAGAAAATTATTCAAAACCAGAGCGCCTACTAAAATTACCTTTTAACCGTAGTGAAGAATTACGATAAAAGTATCTTATATTTTATTTTTACAAGTACCTCTACTGCCTTTTAGAAATGTTCCCTTTTGATCAACATCTAGTCTATATTATTTTCCTTGTCAAATAGTCTCCAGCACAATATCTTAATTTTTTTGTCATGACAGAATGTTCAAATATTTTTAATTCGCTAACTGGCAATCGTTAAGGAAAAAAATCTATTCTTTGTGCAATACATATCTCCTATACTTTGACGTAATGTCAATTTAATTTACATTAATATTTTGTTTCAAATTAGCTCGGAATGTTCGTCTTCGTTCAATTAAAACACTGTACGCATAATGAAACCGTGTTTTCTTAATTTTTTAATTGCATAAGAAAATGAATTTTTTCGATTCTCAAGTAAAATCATAAGAGAAGTACGTACAGCCGTATATCAGGGCGTACCATCTGCCGTTTTGTGCATACTTTTTCATAATGTCGTGTTCTTCCTTAGTTTCGAGTATATCCCAGTCTGCGAATAAGCGATCTGTGAGATCTTTAATCTACAAACATTACCGATATATTCGATACTTCAAATGCAACGTTCTCAACAATAGATACGACAGTTTTCTAAACAAGAGCTGAGATTTTACAATAAAAATTGGAACATCAATTGTAATCTTTATTAGGATATCAACTATTCGCATTGAACGTACTTTCCGGCTGTTAAACTGATACGTGAAGATTTTCACCAGAATCATCACCGTCAGCATATGTGGTGGTAAAGTCTCATAAATACACAACGCATTGTTGCATACGACAAATTTTGCTATCTGAAAAAGATGCGGTTCATTTATTTAATTAATTAATAATTGTACTTGGAAACAAATTATTTGAATCGGCGCGATTAAGTCTTAATAAAATTTCTATTATTAATTCTTATTTTTATAAAATAAAAAAGAATTAATAATAGAAGTGGATGAATAGAAAAGAATGTTAATACAAGAAGAAGTAAAGAAAATCTCGAATGCATTACCTGTGTAACAAGTGCACTGGCATCAAGAATAAGTATAAAAGTCAAGAAACACAAACTCTCTTTCAACTTCTGATAAGGCCACTGCCCGACGAACATCAGGTACCACTTACAGATATCGTAATAGTAATGCCTACTGTGTTCCATACTTCACAAAGAAGCGATAGCCACAAAGACGTGTAATTTTCGAGCCCTCTCTGGGGGATGTCTTTTTCCCGCCGGATAAGTGTCGGTTATAAATAAATTATTTTAGACAGTGCGTTCCGCATGCTCGTCTTCCTCCCCTGACCCGACGCACAATCGTTAACGATCACGGGTTATCGTAGGTGACGGACACTTACAGTAAGAGTATACATCTCGTATAAGTATAACGTAAGCCCTAATGACAGGCGCGAGTAGACAGCAATTGACAGTTGACGCTTTAAGAAATACTCTACTGCTTAAACGTACGAATACGCTGGGGTTTACGACATTTACACGTAATATAACATTTGCAATTCGTTCTAAACAGTTCCAGATCTCGAGCTGCTATTCGCGATAGTTTTTGACGAGAGGAAACAGCACACGTATATCAGCTTACATAGGCGTATTAGATATTAAATAATTATTACATGAATATTTGAATGAATCATTATTTAAAATAATTAATGTAAAACAAAGATTAAATAAACGTGAACGTACAGCGAATTTTTGTGCCATGAGTTTTTCGAGGTCTCTGAGAAAAACCGGGAGGGAAATTGATTTGTTTGCTAGCACCGATAACAAATAAAAATTTTATTATTTTTGACTTATTAAGTAACAACAAATATATATTATTTAATTCGATATATAATTTGCAATATTATACCTCTGCGAAACGGTTCTTCTTCACGTATTTTACTGCGTGCTGCCTTAGGAATCGATCATGACACGTCAAAGGACGACAATAATGTAAAGTACGACATCGAACTTTGTACAACCTAAATGAGAACGGAGAAAGATTTCATATGTCTTTTTGGTCTGTATATTTTAGTAATATCTATCATTCCTTTACCGTTGTAAAATTTTCTAAAGAAAACACATATATTTTGCCGGCGGTAAAAGCACTAGCTTCAATGCTTTTTCTCATTACGAATAGGAGCAATCTTTGTTCCTTCACAGGTATTTTATACCACAAACTGTGATAGCTACAAGATCACCATTACACGTACATATAATAAATAACTTTAATTTATTCTGACTGTGAGAAATAATTGACCTCTTGCAAATAATTCTATAAAAATTATGCCCTCTATACCGATGAAATATTTTCATTTCTAGCCAGCTAATTTATGTCTAATTTAATATCATCTCTTACATGTTGTCGCGAGTTCCGAGACTATGATTTATCAGCTTTTGTCCCTGGAAGCTAAAGCAGAACAAGTGAAACAATTGGGCCATAATGAAGACGAAATATCTCATCGCTTCCGCTGAATCGTGCAGCTGCGTCGAAAGCTTGAACGCGAGGAAGGTAAGGTCCTGCTTTAATTTTGCATTATGCACGTTAGAAAATTCTTACGTTTATCTATTTGTAGATAACTTACTTGCACCAAAGTAATGCTCAAGCAGAGTGTAATTAACAGGAGTTGCACGGCAAAGGATATCGAAAAGGTATCTTCAAGAATTTTAACGAACCTATGTAGCAAAAATACGATATCAATGACACCAAATATCCAAATGAAATCAAACAAAAACCTCGCTTATCATAGTTTGTCAAACAGTTGTTCATTAGCATCGAGAACAATAAAAAAAAACATGGGTTACGACATTATTGTAATACACACTCACTGCAACGCCTTTCGATGAGCGTGAATCGAAATCACAACGTTTTTGTAATACAAGTAATCTGGACAATCAATCATACCTTTTTCTGTGTTACTACGTTTATGTGATACATGCTCAAATCTGTATCTGCAAGTATTTATGCAACATAACATTGTTACGAGAGGTTTTGCAAATTAATTTCTGTCTCTCCCAAACGAGCGCACATGAGCTAAAACTATTATTACGTTATATTTACTCCTCGGCAGAATTTTACTTATTTCGTTGCTATAAATGATGTAATCTCGCTTTCAGTATAAAAAATCATTACCTAACGACGGCAAAAAGGCCGCAGATGTGTTCGATGTAAGTAAAAAACATGCAATCGTGTGCGATTAATCCGGTTAAACATATGGTGGCGCAAATTATCATATGAAGAAAAATATAATAGAAATATTGATTGTCGTCAACGAAATAATACGCCGGATATGGCAGCATTATGGGCCGAGAAACGTTCAAAGGAAATACAACGTCCAAAATACGTGGTGCAAGAGAGGTTGTTGTAAATGAAACGGTAGATATGTAAACATACGCTGCAACAAGAACAATAGTCGTCTAAAACGTCCGTCTGCTAAAATATGTTTTACTTTTTAAATGATAATTGTTATTAAAACTGCTTCGGCTTTTCCCATGATTTTTTCTTCCCAATTCATATGTTTTTATGAATTGGGAAGAAACCCAAAACCACCGGATATCCTTTTAATCGCAGACTCTTTAGAAAATTTAAGTAAAAAATACAAAAATGTCGAGGCATTTAGTTTTCAAATAATAAGCGATTATATTGCATTTCACAAATGATGGGCCATAAATATCTTTGAGTCTCTATTCAAAGAAATTACTTACAGCTGTATATCAACACGTACCATCTGCCATTTTCGGCATACTTTCTCATAATATCGCGTTCTTTTTCAGATTCGAGCAAATCCCAGTCTACGAATAAGCGATCTGTGAGATGTTTAATCTAGAAATATCACCGATATATTCGACACATCGAACGCAATATCATCGGTTACAACATAAACGAGATTTAAGAGTTTGCAAGGAAACTATTTGTGAAACTGTGGCCCAGGATTATAATGTCGATACCATTCGTATTAACTAACAGAACGTACTTTTCGACTGTTAAATTGATACGTGAAAATTTTCACCGGGATAATCGCTGCCAGCAAGTGCGGAGGTAAAGTTTCAAAGATACACTGCATGTTATCGCATACGAAAAATCTTGCCGCCTGAAAATGTGATTGCATTCGCGTGTACAGCTTAGTCACAAACTATTCGACGAATTTCTTGCTTTCCTAAGGAAACGTCTCAACGATAATGTTACCTGTGTAACGAGTACATTGACATCGAAAAAGAGTATAAGCATCAGAAAAAACAAGCTCTCTTTTGACTTCTGATAGGGCCACTGCCCGACTAACGCCAGATACCTCTTACTGATATCGTAGTAACGGTCTCTGCTGGGTTCCATATTTGAAGAAAGTTCTCTTGGCACTACGAGTGTCGTCTGAATTTCGAGGCAATGTCTTTTCCTAAAGGCTCCTATCAACAATAGATGCCGGTTATAAATAAATTAATATGTCGCATACCGCTCCGCACTCGTCCTTCTCCCTTTACCCGGCGGTACAATTGCATAGCGATCACGCGTGTTTCCGTAGGTGACAGGCCCTTACGATAAGTGTAGGTTTCATATACGTGTAACACAACATGTAAATGCAACGTATTGATAATGAACGTAAGCGAACAGCGTTTGACAGCTGACCGTTATGAGAAATACTCTATGGTTTGCATTAAGTTAAGTTAAACGCTGGAGAATACAATAAATGTCTATAATCGCACCAACCAGTTCTCAGAACTCGCGATCGTTTCTCAACGATAAAAAGGACAGTCCTGTGATAAACTTGGACAAGTGCAATTTCCCTCTTCACATCGTGCGATTTTACGCGAACGAAATATCGTGGGGAAAATTACAACGAAGCTCTTGTTTTTCTGGGATACACCGACGGTATTTTTAGTCGAAATAAAATAACGTCTAACGCGTGCTATAAAAAATAATCTTAATTATATATATATTTTAATGGGCAATTTAAGTTGGCAGAGTTCTTCCACAGGAGGCAAGAAAATTTTGCAGCTTACAAGTCTGTTGTATAAGATTGTATCATGTTACATATATCTTGGCAAACGGTCATTAATTTTCGCAGCATTAAATATAGCGCCGTTATTTATTAAACAGTACGTGAAAAACTTTTTCATGGAACTTTAGCATTTTCTTTGCGTAGCTGCGCAATTTTACTTACCTGTAAATCTTGGGAGAGGCTGGGGACTCCGCTAGTGTGACTGAATGAATTGTCTGTCGCCGCGCGAGATTGGGATCACGCAAAATACAAGGCTTGGTAGGATATACAGATGACATTTATTTAATTACTTTATTATTTATGCTACTGAATACTATACTCGTAATAGGTATTTCTATAATTATGTCGATAGATCATGCGTGAATCCGTAGAACGTGTGAGGTCTGCCGCGCGAGTTTTACAGCCCGTATGTGAACGCGTGTGTTATAATGATTACGCGTATGTAAATTAATTACAAGGGGGAGAAGGGGGGACCGGACGCGGGGGTGGATAGGAGGGTGGACGCTGCTCCGAATATGCGGGCCGCGCGCCCCCGCCGAACAAGTTTCGCCCCTCTCGACGAATCGTCGACCACGCGCGATCAAGCTCCTGCCCGCTCCGGTTTTCGCCGAGTGATCCGCGAAGAACTATGCGCGCGACTCGATTTATAATACCTAAGTTTCTCTCTTTTCTCTTCATGCCCTTAGGTCGCGATCGATGTCGGATCGGTCCCTCTCGATCGCGAGTGCGTAAACTAATAAACGGAGGCCCGACCACTATCTCGAATATTCCGCATTCAACTCTCTCACCGGCGACTCGTTCACTTTCATGCGGTCCTCGCGAGAAAACGCAGAAGAGAGATCACCCCCTATGCCGCGTCGGAACGTCGCGGTTTAACAACCCACTCGTTTGAGACGGTGAGAGAGTTAAACGTGCCCTTCCTCGGGGGAACGTAAATTCTTATTCTTTTTGACTCTTTCCTTTTTACACTCGCCCGCTCGCACGCGTCGCTGCCGAAAGGCGTTATTAAATAAGGAATGCAACAGGGACGAGATAATGATCGAGCCCGAATACATACATTTAAGAACTTAACAATATACATATACAAGGACGTATGTAACATAAGGCGCAACTCCCATCTAGGGATTGCGGCGATCCAGCGGCATCATCTTATCCGACTGGTCAAAGTAACTGGACAATAAAATTATCAATATCCTCCTCCGCCGCGATACATCACGATTTCATCATTTAGATCTGCTCTTATTGGCTGCAACCCTTCCTCACGCTTTCTGCACTTAAAACGAAGCAACTATACGTTTACGCTTTGGAAAGAGAAAAAAGGAAGAGGAAAAGCGTAGGAGGCTGCATCCAGGAAGAACAGACCAAATGAATTAAGTGCCTAGACAAAAGATCCGCGGGAAAAACTTCTTATGGAACTCACATATTCTATTCTTTATACAAAATACCTGCGTAAGATATCCTGAATTCAACGCTAGAGAGAGAGCGATCGAGATTGCCATTTTCTTTTTATCTTCTCCGAAAAGAAGAAATAATAATCAGCTGTGTGCTGAATTAATCTGTAATTTATCAAAGGACTACTGGGTGCGTTTTGATTCTATGAAAGGGACGACCCTCTTGAAACGAGTCCTGACAAACGTATATAATTGATGATCGACGATACAGCAGTGAAATTCGACTGACGTATTTTTTTTTTCAAATGTTTCAGATATTTGAGTCAATGGGACAAGCAAAACGAATATGTCGACTTTAAGTGGAAAACGCATCGTATACAAAATCTAACAGCACTTTCTCTCATGTACGGCGCATTTATTATTATTCTCAAGTGCGAGTTGGAATAATTTAAAATCATTACAACAGAGGCCCCCAATCATTCACGATCCGGTCACAAAGTACAATAGCTCAGGTAATCAGTTTCTTAGTATAAGTATTTTCCTTAATTTAGCCATTAGATATGCGTGCTTCTCACAAATCGTAATTACTTGATGACTAAGGTCTAAATATAAATATTATCGAACAATAGTAAGTTGTCAAATAATATCGTGCACAAGAACTGCGCTTATATAAATAAAACTCGCGAAATATGACAACTCTGTCACGAAAATATCACAATATGCTTAATAATTAGAAAATAATTATTCAAAATATAATTTAGTCATCTTTTACGATCTGTAAGGCTAAAGATCAAACGTGCTTGAGATTTAAATATATATCATATAAATAACAATGCCACAGTACGCGTTAATCTCCTTTCAGTAGTGTGAAGAAGCTTACACTACGAATATCCAAGTTCGGCTCCGTGAAAGAATACGTTAGAAGTTACGTGTTAAACGGTGCGATATCACGAAACACCATCGGCCACAGCCGATTGTCGCGGAGCGCAGAATCGTGGAAAAGTGGCAGAAAAAGCAGCATACTTTGTAACCGGCCACAGGTAGATGATTGAGCACCCCTTCCTTCCGCCGTAAACTTGCTCGGATCGTTCGTGGTGAGACAATCGCATACTTATCGTACGGTAGAAATGAATTTGGTCCTCGATCGTGACGGAATACCAAAGAGCTCCCGCATTCGGGCGACGCAGCTTTCGTCCTCGCGCTCGTAATCGTCTTATCGCGCCGCTGCTGACGACTTTACGTATCCATGGCTATATAACAAAGTGTCCTCTTTCCTTTTTGCCTTTTTTTCCCTTCCCTGTTTCGGTCGGTCAATCCCTCCTCTACGTGGTCCACGTCGCACGTGATCGCCATCCTTCTTCTTAGGCTCTACGACGGTGATCAATAATCTGGACCACTTTGTTGCACGAGCGATCTCCATCGACGAGACGGTGACGATGTTAACTGTCGAGGGTCGCGGTCACTTCTAGATTGGTTGGTTGAGGAGAACCCTCGAATCGGACCTCAATTAACGATAGATTTTTCACAGTTTTCACTGGCTACGATCAAACTCAAGTGTCTGACTCTTTCCAAATTGTAATCGGATCAAGCTATGGAGGAAGTGTTAATCATAGTTAACTTGGGCGACCGATCCTTGATTGCACGAACTTGACCGTGTAACAAAGGTCTCAATGGAGATTGTTGTACGGAACGGACGACGACTGCGATCGAGAACATCATTTTGGAAAATTCCGCGGGCTTATCCTAAAAACGACCGTGATTCTGATCGTAAAAATTTCACAAGTTTAATCTTTACGGTAATATAATACTATCACACACGCAGACACACTCTCTCTTTCTCTCTCTCTCTCTCTCTCTCCCCCTCTCTCTCTTTTCGTCACGTATTAAGTAAGATACTGGAACAATGTTCGCGGTCGCAGCCTAAGGGTGGACGTACGCTGAGCGAACGAATAACAAACGTACGGTAAATGCGAGTTTTAGCTGTTGAAGTTTGAGAGATATTCACCTCACAGGAAATGCAGAAGAAACGGAGGGAAAACAATCGTTAGAGGCGAGCATCCGACACGCGTTGGACCGACTCGCGGGAGCGGCACGTCGCAGCAAGTTCCAGGTGAGCTCCACCACTCGTTACTCGTTCGCTCAGAGAACGGCGCGTCCACCCCAAGGATAAACACTATCAATGCTCGATACTGTACAACATCATGCGAGAACGTCGGTCGATGTGTGAGAGTCGTGCGAAATCGATGCTCTCTTTCTTTCTGTCTCTGTCTCGAAGGTCTCTCCCGTCCTGACATCGTAGTCCTCCTTGCGGCAGTGCGCAACAAAAAGGATGGGTCGCCAATGCGCGCGGGAGGGATTCTCTTGCGCCCTTCCTCACGGAGATCGATCTACGCCGTTCGACGGCTCGGAAAGAAGAGAGGAGAGGAAGATCTTATACATGGTGAGGTGCAGCAAAGGTTTCATCCGAGAAAGGGATGAATAGGTGAGGAAACGTACGAGGCGGGAGAGTGGTTTCACGGCGGAGGGACAGGGAAACGGGGGGGGGGGGGCAGGGGAGGGACGAGGGAGAGAGCGGAAATAGTTCTCGGACTGAAGGAAGATAGGAAATCGATTGCGTTTATCTCTTATATTGTTAATTTGGTCTCGGGGTCCAACGACTCGTGAAGAGTTATTGTATGAAATAATCGGGATGGTCTGAGTCCTTCTCAAACCTCTTCGCTTCCTCCTGCATGCTCTCCTTGATCTTCAGGATGGCCGCCGACTCGGTCTGATCCTGCGAATCAACCAACACCAGGCCGGTTACACGTAAACGATCAGGCAAGCCCATCAACCTTGCCCAAGTTTTTCCGCGCGCAGCGTCTTTCACCAGTGAGATTCGCGGGACCCTCGGTCTAATCGCGCGTCGGAATTACGACAAACGACCGGAATTCGGTAAAGGGGGGGGGAGCAAGGGGTCCGGTGTCTTTTTCGTAGCCGGAGCGGTGAAACGTCCAGCTGGATGTTTCCCTCTCGTCGCCGCGCGTATGAGGAACGCGTATATGTGCCAGGAATCCGCCCAGCAATTTCCTCCCAGATAGCGTACGGCACGGGAAACGGTAACACGCGACTCGCGGCAGCCACGACACGGTGGACGAAACCGAGGAGTCCCGCGAAATCCGTAAGATCCGTCTTCACCCCCGTGTGCGAAAACGCTGGCCGGTGAATAAAACGCTTTACTCAAAAGCGCAACGTGATGGCGGTGCGTCGTGAGGGGGAGGGCCGGGCTCGTGAAACGAAAAACTCCGTGGGACAGGACACTTGGGGGCGGGGGGGGGGGCAGGGAGGTGNCGTCTCGTTGTCGGGAACCGAGAGAAAGTTGAGGCTTGAGGTACTTGTTTTTTGCTTAAGGGTGCTCTGACCCACAACACATGGACGTTACGTAAGATAGTGAAGCCCGTGTCGAGCCGAACATAATAACAGCAAGAGTAACGACAATAAAAATATTAATAATGATGATGTGATGATGATAATAATAATAACAATAATAATAATTAAACACAACGAAAAACTTATTGTCGTCGCCTGCCCCCCCCCCCACACGCACGCACACCTCGCCGACTAGAAACGACAGGTAGTATAGTGAAAAAAAAGGTACTCTAGAGAAACTCGACGTGTCGTCCTTCACACACTTATGTTTTTCCCCCTTCTCAGCGGGAAACTCTTCCGCCCTTTCGGAATTTTTGCCCCCGCTTATTGTTTTCGTGTCTCGATCTCGCAATCCATCGATACGCTTTGCGCTGACGCATCCATGTGCTACAGGTCAGTACAGGCTAGTACTATATACAGCTATCTGTTCTGCTCTAGTCCGGTTCTTTTATATTTTTTTTTGACGTATTTCACACGCGAAAGTGAATACGGGAGAACGCTCGAGAAACGTTCAACGAGAGTGCAACATCGATCATGACAATGTGTTCCACAGCCGCAGCGATAGTAGGTGCAACGTTCGATTTAGCGGGGATCAGTGTCGGAGGAACAGAGTAGAGCCGGCAGCAGACCAGCAATTTGTATTAAGAGACACTGATCCCGCTAATCGGACGGATGGAACGAACAAAGCGACCAAGTGAAACACAAGTGATGTGTGTTGTGTGATTAGCACAAGTGCAAAATACACGGAGACGGATAGTTATATATAAATACGATGATAGCCAGCACCCCTCGGATTGAATCGTAAATAAAAAAGAAAAACGCAATAAATCTCAGTGTAACAGGATTACATTTATTGTCTCGATCTCGCCTGGCTTATAGGCATATATTAATTATGTTACCATTCAGCGAATAGATTCGGCTTACAACGAGGAGTATATCAAGTAAATTGGCATTAAGGGTACCAAACCGCGCCCGTCCGTTCCGCGAGTCTCTACCGCTGATGAACGTGGAACAACGTCGCCGGGGTGGGTCGACGTTGCTTCCGTTCGAAGAAGAAAGAAAAATATGACGGCGCAACACCGAGACAAAATTTCGACTTGCCATACGAGTCGCGTTCGAGCTTCGTACCCTCAATGCGCCGCTTTTGCCGAGCTTTTATCCTTCACTCATTGACTCGTCTTGTACGTCCTCGCATCAAAAAGAAAAGATTATGCGATTTCCACAAGCGCGCGTGTACTTTCTTTTCTCCGTTTTAGACGTATGGGCTTAAAACGGCAAGACGGCAAGAATATCCGGGAATATCCGGCAAGCGGTGCGCTCTGCCTAGGCTATCCTGCAATTGTCTCACGTGTCAGGCGGCAAACAATTCCGATTAGTTCAAATGACCAAGCTTGAATTACAAGATAAAAACCCGCCACCAGGTCGTCCGCGCGACTAGTCGCAGTCAAACAATTAACAGATTCGTCACTTTTATCATCGCGAGGCCACTCATCACCTGCGCCACGTACACTCGCGCACATTTTTCTTTTTCTTTTTTTTGTACGACAACATATATGGTGTGAAGCAAAACACCCTGTTTTCGTAAACGACCTGTTAATCCACGATCCCAAACCGAGATGAAAAGCGTTAAGGAACGCCCAAGAACGTTCGCAGCGAGGTAGCTTTTGTAAAAAAAAAGAAAAAAAAGAAAAAACGAGCTTACACAACGGGACAATAAATAAATAAAAAAAGAAAACACTTGCAGCGTCTTGCCGTTTGGTCCCAGAGCATGCACTTGCGCATACGCACATTCACTCCTCTTTTCTCTCTCTCTCTCTCTCTCTCCCTCTCTCTCTCCCTCTCACCCGCATTCTCTCCGTGTATTTCTTCCTCTTTTTCTTTTTACATAAAATTCCATCGATGTCTCGGCACTATAAGTTAATTTAAACATAACTAATAGCAGCACAGTATAGTCCAGTACTGACCTATAATCAATGCGGACGGATGGATTCCGGGAAATCTCTCGCTTCTCACCCTCATCGCATTTTATCTTCCGTTTTTCTCTATCTATTACTCGCTCTCTAAGGTTCAGTACTCGCACGTCTATGTATCTTATATTCATACAAAAATATTAACGTTTGCATATATTTATATTATATACATATATATTATATATACATACATATATCATACATATATATAATATATATTTCTCTTATATACCTCTTTATCTCTCAAGTACTTCGTTTAAGCTACCTGCAGTGAACCACTTCGCCTCGCTAATATACCGCGTAATCTCGAAGCTGTCGAAACTACCTTCGCTGAGAAATCCGCCTCAACCACCGTAGTACAATGTCAAAACGGCTACCGGTGTCAAAGGTGAAAGCTACGATTAATTTACATCAATTATCGTTGCTCGAGTCGCGCCCGAGGCGCGACGGATTAATAGTACGTTAAAAGACTAAAGAGTTTTCGAAAGAGATTCCACCTTCCGTCCCTACGACGGTGACGCTAAAAATTGAGCAAGTGACGAGCTTTACATGCTTTGCACGAGAAACGACGGCGAAACTAAGCACTAGCGGGTCGCGAGACGCGCGTTGATCGATTTCAAGTAGGAACGACTCTCAATTAATTCAACGCATTTGCATTATCGCACAAGATATTCGCGGACTCTCCGCGAGAGAGCGATCAGAAGCCACGACGCGGTAGTTTGATCTAATCGTCCCGAAACTCTGGACATTCCCACCTGGAACGCGAGCTAGCTACCGGAGAGGCTCTACCGTAACGCGCGAGAGCAGCTCCCCTCGTTAAAATCACTGTTAAAATCGTCGCTTTTCTTTTCACGCGTTCGCGCCGACTTTGCTCCGCGAGCGAGAAACGGTAATCCGCGTGTATCTCGCGACTGAGTACGTGCGTATCAATTTCCATCCGCAATGTTAACGACGGCTGCGAGAAGGACAGAACGCCCGCTCCCGCCACATCGGGAACGGGCTGTGAGCAAATAGTTGGAGGGACCCGGTCCGCGAGCCTGTCTAGACCGTTCACCTTACTATCAGAGTCTCGTTGTTGCAAGATCTGTGAGAGTCGAGACTGCTAAAGATTCACGTTGGTGTAAAGAGACCGCGCGGGACACCCCCTCCTCTCGGGGAGGTCCTCACCTGCCGTAAAACCGTTTACAGTTCGTATCGCTAACTTTATAATGCAATGCAAGGACAAGATCAAAATGTCAGTACAACTCAGGATGGTGCGTTCAAAAGAGAGTAAAAAAAAAGAGAACAAGGGCGTAAAAATCGATTAATAAGTATGCGATCAGTAATCACAGTAGCGGATAATTCATATACGTATATCCTATCGTGTGTGTATGCGTGTCCTGCGTGTATGTATGTGCGTACGTGTTGGTACATGTATGCGTGTACTCTCGTGTCTCGTGTAACAATCTTCACGTGATTTTTCAGGCACCTTTACTTACGACCTACGTATAATTGTCAAATAAATATAAATAATAGAAAATAATCTGACAAAATCTTAAGTAAATATTAACTAGCTTCCGTAATTAAGTAATAGGCATAATCCAGGGACTGAAGATCGAAAGAATTTTACTAGCAAGTGCCACGGTACCGTGTGTACACTCGCTCTTATAAAATCTCGCAACGACAAGCACCTTTCATTACGCCATTCTACGTAAAACGCGATAATGCTACATAAACCCGAAACGGCGAATCTATACGTTGTGAAAGGAAAAGGTAAAAGTAGTCAATTCAATATTTATAAATTAGCGATCCTTTAAATAATATAACGGTAATAACATCGTTTTTATCTTGATCATTATATATTATATGATATGTCGTTTAATATATTTCAATTATGCAACTGGAAAATTCCGACAGGCAATTGAAACAAAATTGTTTAAATACCGTTTTCAATCCCTGGTGTAATCATAGTAAAACGTAAAAAAAAAGAAAATTAAGAAAATGAATATACCTAGTCTTGCAACCTTTTGAGTATTTAGAGAAAGCATACATATCGTATTCCTAGACACGGCGAGGCGCGCGTGTAAGAATAATCGTTGTTCGAGTATCTGCGCCGTTTAATGATAGCGGTTCAATTAATGAGCGCTTAAGTGCTAATCCTAATCGAGCAGGAGCAATCGATAACGGCCGCACGTTACGCTGCGTTTGACACGAGTATCGTTACTTTTCTTTTCTCTTTCGCTCTGGCTTGCTCTACGAGCTTGAACCACTGTCGAAACTACATGTGCCGGACTATAGCGAAACTAGAGCCGGAACGCACCATGGAACACGTGAATACGCAGCGAATCCGCGTACGATGCTTTTCCGCATTACATGTATATAACCGGCACACCACGTGCGAAGTCTACGGCATCTACTCGGGGCTGGCTCCAAGACGACTTGATTTTTTAAAAAAACTGTCGAGAATACAGAGAAGGTGCACGTACGTGATTACTGATAACTCTCTTCGCAAGGCTCGCAAGGAACGTCCGCGACGCCGTCACTTCCTGATTACGACAAAACTTTGCGGATCACGCAAGATAACTGAAGATTAACAGAGAAGAATACACGCTTCTTTGTTACTCATAAAAATTTCGGCTTGAAAGATGAAATCACACGTGCGTACAACAAGAGAGCAATCTTCGCGGTAACAAATTTTTTAATTAGAGCGTTCGAGTTGAAACGATAATAAAACTTACGTGTATAAAATTTAATGTATAAACTCTACCGTGATAGACAAGTTCTGAAAGAAAAACAGCGTTTAAATAAATTTACAAGTATAATTTTAGATATCGAGCTCCGAAATGCAACTTTTCATTTACACAGAAAGTTCGTCGGCCATTTTCAGTTATCGGGCACATCGTCAAAGTTTCGACAAAATCGAAGACAAAAGCGTCGTGACTGTTCCTTGTCATATCCTACTGATAATCTCATATAACAACATATAAGATTAGCATGTAAAATCGTGTATACGCGATTGAATCAAAAGTTCGATTACTTGTCGCACGAAAGTAATTTGGTATTTCACTTTATAAAACACGCAGAAAGAAACTGAGACACCTGTATAAATTACTTTTGACAAAATCGGCATAGATAACGGGGATTCTCTTCTGAATAAATTGAATGTACAACTTGACTGAGATTATATTAAACCGGAGTACGATTTACGCAACGATATTAAACTCAATTCGACGGTTATCGAAACTTACGAAATAAGATAGATAATTTAAATCTCGTCATCTTTCTGCCCGCTTCATAATTGCATCGTTAGACGTATTGTTAGTGTGATAGTAGTTAGACGCAATTTCAGCGAATACGGTTATGACAAATATTAGATGCGACCAAATGACGCTGATTAAATTTACCAAAATACCATGTGACGCGTGATTAAACAGAACACCTTCCGAGAAATTTATAGGGATAAATGATACTCTGTAAGAAAGCATTAACAAGCCTGTTGGAGCGAGGCTGAGGATAAATCCCTTGAACGAGACTGAACCCATATTATTTTAGCAAAATACGTGAATATCCGCCGTACTGATAGAAGCGCTTGTGGCTGTTAATTGAGATGATTAGAAGGGCAATAAGTTGTAACGTGGATCTGTATGCCACGAAAATGATAATATAAAGAGAGAGTAGTTTAAAGTAATTTTCTTTTTAATTTTATCGTTAACGTATAAAGACGAATGAGAGAGGTCGACCGGATAAAACGATGACATACAAATCCACAACAACACGTCGAGTGACCATTAGGAAAAGTTGTTAAACAACCTGTGCATACTTACATTCTCTCCAGGAGCTCCGAATCCACCCAGATTATAATCACCCATTCCGCTGCCGCTATCTTCCCGTGGTGTACCAGGACCACCGTTCGCTGGACTGTTCTTCATCCCGTCGAGACCGTCACCGTTTAGAACAGGACCCATTGTATTAGGACCCATGGGTCCCATTGGACCGCCTTCAGGTCCGCCGCTCATTGGAAAATCCTAAAATGTGTTTATAATGTCATCTCGCTTGCACATGGCACACGCTTTGGCCGTTAATCGTTTGTGATTTATAAAAGAATTTGCAATCAAGTTGTAGCTCAAGGGAGAATAATTGAACGTAATGTAGGAAATAGAATAGCTGCATTATGATTTAATCACTTACACCCGGCATATTTCCTCCAGGTACGGGTTTCATCATGGTATACATATTTTCTCCTCCACTGTTGCTACTGTCTTGTGGGCTAGGCATAATAGGTGTACCAGGTCCAGGCGGACCCGTTGATCCAGGCGGCCCTCCGTAGTTGCCCGGCGATGACGACGAATAATTCATTGGCTAAGTCACAAAGAGATGTTAAGTATTCGTGTTGTACTAGAGTAGAATTAAGCATTAGAAACACGTATTATGAGAAATAAAATTGATATGTTGATCCATACCGTAGATGTGTTGGGTTGCCATTGTTGTCTACCACCCGGAGCGGCCATACTCATCGGCGGCATTCCAGGACCCCCTGGCCCACCTGGACCCAAAGTACTATTGGGCGGTGGACCTCTCATGCCTGGGCCGTAACTGCCCGGGCCCATCGGTCCCATTCCTGGACCTCGCGGAGGATTCATTCTCGGGTTCATTGGGTTCATTCCTGGTGGACCTATGGTAGAAAGTAGAGTTTGGTGAATTCTATCATTAAACAGTGGGACTGTTAACGTTTGCTCTAGTTCTATGTTAATGCTAACTGCTAATTACGACTTTGTGGACTAAACGATAAAAATCGTGGACTTGTAAACACTGAGATAAAGTAACTTGTGTATAAGATTGCGCTCCATGATGTAACATTAAGTGCGGGCTCAAAGTGCCGAAAATTGAGAGTCATGCTTTGCCAAAGTCGAGTTCGAGGTAAAGCCGGTGGATGACATGCCGGTCAAGCAACTGTCCCCACACAAATTAACATAGTGAAAAAGCTCATGCTAAAGATAGAAACAGCATGTACTAAATTGCGAACAATTATTACTTGTATTATACACTCAAGTATGAAAAAAAAAGATAAAAATAATGTGCGTCAACTGTATTGTTAAAACTTCTTAAAGGATCTAATTCCGGACAAAAGCGACTTCTTGCTTTATGCGATAGCAATAGTCTTGTAACAATATCCCCACGGATCATAATTAAATATTACTTCGCTAAGGACATAACGTAACAATGATGATTAATGTTCTAAAAATATATCTGTTAAACACAAACATGATCAGCCTATCTTTTCCATCTGCATGTAGCATGATCTCATAATGCGCACAAACTTTTAATTAACATTAAATGTAAGCTCGTTATAATATGCCGACAGATATCTTTTTGTTAATTAAAAAATGTCCATCTTCTGCAAGAAAATTCCGTAAAAATGATACATTTTACACATACAATTAATGTAGACATACGAGGCCTGTCCCAAAAGGATCCGACTTCTGCGTATATCTTTGTCCTTAGGCACCCTATTTTGGAAAACAGATATTCGGTATTTAGGATGGACCTTTATGAGTTATGCATCCTGTTTTCCACAATAGGATGCCCAGGGATAAAGATATACGCAGAGGTCAAGTACTTTTGAGACAGACCTCGTATACATGATTTTTAGCTCCGACGTAATATTTTGCACACATACATTAGCACAAATATTTCTTAAACGTGGAACAAAGTATCATCGAGTTACTGTGCCAAACGAGTTTCTCGTAAACTGCATATAAAGATGTTATTTGTTATACACACAACTAAATATACACGTCTAAAATGTACTCAATTGCGATTGTCATGCTGGATGCTAGTTCGGATGAGCAAATCATTTTGCAAAAGAGCAAAGCCGGTGCAATTATCTATATGAAAATGAAACTAAAAAAAATTAAAGGCAAGGAGGAGAAAAAAAATAAAAGTTAGGCTTGACTAAGTCATGTGAGTGTGATTTGGGTTGCTTCCTACCTTGCCACCCTACAAATTCTCCAGCTTCGCCTGAGGAACACAAGAGCACACATTAGTACGGCAGGTAGGTAAGAACGGGTTCATGGTGGTAAAGCCTAGTTATTTTGCAGTGGTATAGCAGAGATGTAATTATATCTGAATTTAATAGCTGCGCAATTTATTAAAGAATTATTTGAAAGTTGAAAGTTATTCTTCAACTTGGATAAACAAATGATAGCTATGTCTTTAATTAAATCATACAAGTGTATCGAGAGTCAAGCCATTTTTATCAATTACCTAAAGATTCGTAATTATGTTACACTTAAATATTCATTAATTTATAATACTTTCAGAATACAGTATCTTCAACTGTATTTCTCTTTTAACTCTAATCTACGAGTAAAATGTTCTGAGAAATACATATCGTATATAATGACACGAATTACTTATAAAAAAAATAAAAGAGATTATATAAAAGCATATAAAATAAAATATTTGGTAAAGAGAACCATTGAAATACATACTTACATACTAAGTACACAAGACTGAATATCTAGCAAGTAACAATCGAACGCAAACTACACCACTGCTTGTAACTAGACAATTCAAAAACCAATCCACTCCACATCACAGCAATCCAATCCAATTTAAAATATTACTTATTCGTTTATTGCTGTGTGGTTTTTGGTACGCATGCGTCTATGCCATTCTTCTCTCGCAACTTTCGTCAATGCCAGAAAAAAGTAATATAACACTGGCATATAAATGATCTCTTACCTTGCCTGGTAGGATCCATACTATTTGGCATCATTGGCTGTCCCGGTGGCTGCGAAAAAAGTAACGTAAATTTATATATAATAACGTCTAAAACTCGTGTATATTTAAATATATTTCAATATTTAGGAATTAAAATTGTGAGTGCATATAAACATATTATTATCATTTTTATTTATTTAAACAAGATATATCTTCAGATTATTAAAACTCTAGCTAAGCACTAGTCGTTAATCATTAATGTATGAAACAAGTTCTCATTAAACTCACCCCATTAAAGTCATTTCCCATTTGTGGCATACGTACTCCAGGTCGTGGTCCTGCTGGGTATCTGGGGCCCATAAACTGTAACAGAAAGGAAACATTCGTCAAATTGATCATACAACGAAATGTATTAATCTCAGTCATAGTTTGAAGGTAGTTTGACAAATTAAGAGCATCAATAAAGTGTCAATCATGATCACTATACACAGAATTGACTAGATAAAGTATAAATATCAGGCAGCCACAATAAGCAATCCGTGAGATGATAGGCCATAAAATATGCATTTCAAGTTCATCGCAGCACATTAGTTGGTTGTATCATAACACGACGTTCCTAAGCGCACACTGCATGAGACTCGTTTATCGTAATAATATAAATATTCTAAACGATTACAAAACCACTTGGATAAACCCTGTACGATATGTATCTGTATAAAGGCAAAGTCATGAAGGACATCACGAAGAGGAACAATTATAGCGATTGTAACGATAGTAATGAATTTCGGTTATACCATGATATGGTGCGATGACACAGCGGAACAAGTGATTCTTTATGAGTGAGAGTGTATGTGTTGAATGAGGCTTACCTGGGTGGACATCATCTGCGAGTGTGGGGGCGGGGGTGGCTGGGGGTGCTGGGGGGATGGCTGTGATGAGGGGTGTGTGGGCGGAGATGGTCGCATTGTTGAGTTGTTCTGCAACAAGCAACGCAAACGACAGACATGTAGCAACACTGCGATCCAGGCAACAGCTAGACTAGAAGGCTTTGGGGATGATTGTGTTAACACTATGATCGGTCACAGCATCTTAAGTTATCCGTAAGAAAGTTGTAATTAGGAAAACGACATCGTTTCAATGACGTTTCAGTGTCTGTCGTTGTACACCCTCTTTTCGTAATTACAACCTGTATGCGAGATCACTTTTTAACATTAAACTTGTGAAACGAGACATATAAGAGTATGAAAAGATGCCAATTATAAAATGTACAGCGTTATAGAAGGTAAAACGACTTCGTTGGAAAGATATGATGACTCCTAAGCATTACAGGATACCTATGTATGTAGAGAGATCTAGAAACAGAGACTGTATCGCTTATATAGCACATTATTTTTCTCTAATCTAGTAGGGGACGACTACTTTGACAAGCAATAGATGCATGATTTTTCTCCATTTTCTTGTTTCCACATACATTTTGTGTTTGCATAGTAACGTTATTTATATCTTTTTCATGTACAATAAATAGTTAACACAAATATTATTATTGAGACATCAATTGTACAAAATATATTTCTATCGTTATAAAAAAAATATTAATCAAATACCCACAAAAAGATTAAACAATTTATATCTTCTCTATACAATTGCAATCTTCAACAAATGTATAACCGTTAAGTTATAAAGTTACGAAATTATATAAATCATGAATCTTTTTCATTTTCTCGCGAATTAAATTATATATAATTAATCATACAATACACAATTAATATCCATGAAATTATTTTAAATAAGGACGTCATGGACCACTTGTGAAGAAACTAGACTACATTCTAAGCAGGCTTCCGTGTTAGTTGTCCCATACATTCTAGAGAGTATAACTCTGGCTGGTTATGCAATGTCCAGGAGAATGTTCAAATTTTGTATTTTGCAAACGAACGTTTGCATACGAATGAAAAACACGAATAAAATTAATGCTTTCACATACAACTGTGACATGACCAGCACAAAGTGATATACTTCCCATGATATGCTTACTGTACCACAATATTGTGCTCTAAATGTATTCTAACATCTATATAATCCTGTTCTTCATAGAGTTTCTAGATTTGCTTTATGCGCCAAGAAGATGAAACAGTGAAAATGGTACAAGAACGCACATACAAGTATTAGATAGAGAGCAGAGAGAAAGTAAGTACATATATACAGTATAGACAAGCATGACATAAGAACGTCTTTTGAATGTACACTTGTTTCAAAACAAGTTAATCACGGCTACGTGTGTGTATATTCATCGATATTATATGTAGGGATATAATATGCTTATTTAAATAACTCTTATAAAAATGTGTAACATATAGCTCGGTTTTTTTAACTCAACAAAGAAAAAAGCAAGTTGTTCCGTCAGCTCTTCATGTAACTTATACAAAAACTATCATATTTCAAATTGTTTATCTAGATATTATCTATTTGCTCTTGTTTTATTAAATAAATTGAAATTATCTTTCGATGTATTACTGTAAACTGTTACAATCTTTAGCTTGAAATAGCCCATTATGCTTTGAATCAAGTGTAAAATTGAAACAAGGACTATGCATAACAATAATAACAGATACACGACTATGTGTGTGTGAGACACATACACACACATACACATATATCTAATGTGTGAAGATACACGCATTAGATTAATATAGAGAATTATCTTAAATTTTATTCTCGTAACGTTAATCTTCTTTCCAAAATATCTAATAATTTTTGTTGCAAAACCTACTTGAAATTATCTCGAATAAAAAGATGCAATCACTATGCCAAGTGAATGCATGGAAATGGAATAAACCTTGTCATTCGTTAAAAATTATTCAAATATATTTTAACAGACGTGACAAGTGGAATGCAATTTAAATGTAATTTTGTGACGACCGATTTAATAGACCAATTTTTTCACTTTACGTCTTCTGCAAGTAAATATCAAAACAAATGATATTAAGACATTGTTATCAGATAAAGACTCACTGGGAAGAAAGTAGGAGGCATGGGACCACCAGGCATTCCGTCGTTTGGTGGCATTTGACCAATCGGAGATGGGGCCGGTCCAGCATTCTGTAAATATTTTATGGTCTTAGTCTCTAACGCTTGCTTCTTCGCGGAAGAAAACTGTGATTAGAAATGAAAAGTGTACGTTTCATTGATTCTTGATAATCCTTAATAGACGTATTAGACAAATATATTGATGTGAAAAGTTTACATACACATGTCTATATCTAATGATGCATATTAATGCCGGGACGTAAATTTTTCAACTTACATGTGCAATGCCATTGACGTTGTAAGCACTGTTCACGAATCCCTGACAACAGAATACATGCCATAAATAATATGTGCGTCTATTGTACTTAATACTAAAACTGCCGCCTCGACATTGAGCGGCCGGCAATTTTGCGCAAATTAAAAAGAGTATTAGAACCATTAATATAATTACATAATCATGAAACGCTTTGGCCTCACTGCTGTGTTCGCAAGAATCTCTTCTCTCGGGCGCCGCGCAGTACAGATCCCAAAAGACACTGAAAGGAAATTACTGTTACACCGAAACGCTCCCGGCGATGCTTCCCTCAGCGATAACGCGGCGGTACTTACCACCACCAGGAGTGCAAGAACCCGGGCGGCTCTCCCAGCGTAATATTCTTCTCCCATCGAATCTGGACAGGCAGAGCAAACCGCATGATAGTAAAACGGTATTTCCGAGGGTACACCGCTGGCAAAAATCATGTACACCAATGCTTACTAACGCTCAGTGGGCATTACCGAATCTTATTTTCTCTATATAATGCCCCAGCAAGGCCCAATGCCCAAACTACTGCCCCAAAAATGCCCAGTAACGCCGCAAATCTGTACACCACAATGCCATCGGCGGTTTACCCCTCGGGTATTTCGCAGTGACACAGTGACCGTCGTCTACAATACGCGGAGTAAGCTTGGAGTAAGGAGCCGAGAGTGAGCGTAGGAGCTGAAGTAGGAGTGAGAAGTAAAATTGATTCATTTCCTTGCTCCTGCTCCTACTCCTTACTTCGGGCCTACTGCGTTATGCGTCGTCTACGACGCATGGAGCAGGCCTGGAGTAAGGATCGGCCAGTGTTACAAATGTTAAAAAAGAACGCCTGTATTTTATCTCTCTTATATCAAAAGCTGAAGGTTGTGGCTCTCTCTTACTCCACGCATCGTAGACGACGCCGTAAGAGATTCGCGAGGATCGGGAGAATCGTGATATACCTCTGACAGGAACGTTTGTGCTGCTTTTTGTGCTCCTACATGTAACAAGTACTCGTACACGTAAAGCGCCAATCTGGAAACATCGTTAATCATTAGCCACTCGAAATTAAGGGGAGACAATTTCGGGCGATGGAACGAAAACGGAGTTGGGGGGGCAGAGACGAGGTGCGCGAGGAGACGGGGAATCCGTCTCTCTCTTTTTTTTAGAAAGCCCGTACTTAGCTCGGAGCCGACAATGGCGTTTCCTCACGGATCCGTCGCGAAGTTAAACGCGAAGTTAACGCGTACTTTCCCCGCGCGAGGTAGTAAACGCGCGGCGCGGGTGCATCGCCGTGGGAAGAGCGCCGGCCCCGCGGCGGGCGCGACGATACAAACATGGCGCGCGGGAATCGGGAACCCCCGATCCTGCGAATCGGAGCGGAGCGCGTACGCGGGCTCCCCGGTGACTGACAGCGCGCGCGGATCAATCGCCTCTCGCGCGAGAAAGCGGGTTACGCGCGAGTCCCGGGCCGGACGATCTTCCCCCCCCCCCTTCGCGGCGGCCGGGTCGATCTCGTTTCTCCATCCTCGATTTTCCGGCCACGGGGCGCCGGGCCCGCGATCTGAAAAAGGGCCCCGAGGGTACGTCGGGCGGGCTCGGAGGTGAGCGCGACTGTTACGGGCAATCGGTCGCGCCGGCGACTTACGACCGGCTAATTCCAGTTAACGGGGCTTCCCCCGACCCCGTTTCGCAGCTGAAACGTCAAGTTCGCTCGTCCAAGTTTCGCTCTCCGCGCCCGACGCGCGAAACGGCGCGCGCGTTCTCGCGACGCTCGAGGGGAGGGAAGAGTGGAGAAGACTCGCGGGCGCGCGCGAGAAACCCAGTTTAAAAAGTCGAGCGCGACGGCGCTCGAGATATCGCCCGACGACGTGCGAGATCGATTGGCGCGCGTCCGGCGAATCCGACGAATTTCGAGTCGAGGCGAGCGACGGCCTCTTAATTAGTCGTGACTTGACTTTCTAATCGAGCGCGATTTAAATCCCCCGCTAATGCCGTCCGCGCTCGTACCGAGGCGTTTCGCGCCATTGAGGCCGCCCGGCGTACGACGACTGGCGATCGAAGTGACCCGTTCGAAAGCGTCCGGGGGATCCGCGCGAATTTTTGCACCCAGCGCGAGTTTTCTCCTCGCGATGGCGCGTGTCGACGATCGAGCCTCTCGCACATCAAGTCTCGAATCGATCTCGCGGCGGGAGGGCAGGAGGTGCAGGAGGGGCAGGAGCGCGGCGACGGTGGCGGCGGCGGCGGCGGTGGCGGTGACGGCAGGGGGAGGAAGGGGAGCATCGTCGCCGTACGTTCGAACGAGAAAACGTACAAAGAGGAAGGCGAGAGAGGGAAGACAAACGAAATGGCTCATCGGCCGTCGGTAGGTAAACTGGATTAACCCGACGAACCGGGTTCTCCGGTCGCGATATACGCGCGACGCTCGCTCCGAGCAAAAAGAACCGGCGACGACGACGACGACGAAGGGGGTGGTGGGAGCGCAGAGGGGCGGGGGGGGGGGCGACGGCGGGAGAGGGAGAGGAGAGCCCGAGCGGGGGCTAGGCGCGCGGGGCGCGGGAGGTGGAGTCAGGAGGATGCCCGAGAAAAATGGAGTTATACCGGAGCGATCAATGGCCGGTTGGAATTTTCACGACGGAACGCCAATCATCTTTATTTTTCTCTCCCCTCCTCCCGCGCTCGCGCTCTCTCCCCCCCTCTCTCTCTCTCTCTCGCTATTCTATTCTATTCTATCTGCCTCACTCGATACGTACTTTTCTCTCGCCTGAGAGTCCGAGGGCACTGACGACCCTTTTCCCTTCGCGTACATGGTCGCCGTGGTGGCCGGTCAATGCTTCTAGCGTAAACACAAGTGCGCCGCCGTTCCTTCGTGCGCCGCTGAACGGCCGAGTGGTGAAAAGAACGGGAGATCGGGGACTCTCTCTCGCGCGCGCGCTACGCGCGTCCCCGTCCCCGCGTATACGGCGTCTGTCTCGCTCGCTCGAGCGAGCGAGCGGCGAGCGGCGATCGCACAGCGGTGCTTACGTCGACGACGCGCGACGTCGTGTCAAACGAAACGCGACCCGAGGAGAAGGTGCACACACTTCGGCGCGCGCGACTCTTTCTGTCTACGTCCGTCTCCCTCCCTCTTTCTCTCTCTTTCACCGTTTCTCTCACTCACTCACTCACTCCACTAGTCTCGTCTCCGTTGCACTCGCTGCACGCAGAAAGAGGTGTTTCCGTTTCTATCTCTCTCTCTCTCTTTCTCTCCTGCTCGAAATCCCTCCGTCTCGCTCGCTCACTCGCTCGCGCACTGACGAGAAGAACGTCTTCTCCGTCCCGCTTTACGTCGCGTCGCGTCACGTCACCAACACGTCGCGTCACAACTGGAGCGAGGTGCCTGCTGCTGCGCGGTACTGGAGCGACACGGTGCGACGCATCACGACGACGTCGTCGTCGTCGCCGCCGCCGTCGTCGTAATCGTCAGAGCGGCTCAGGTGCGTCGCTGGGGGCGCCTTGTCGTCGCCGTCGCCGTCGTCGTCGTCGTCGCCGCCGCTGTTGTCGCCGAAGTCCTCATCGCACTTGCCTCTCACAACCTCGCAGTCCTTCCGGTATCGTGCCACGGTCTCGCGTTGCCGCACGCGCGCGTCCTATTGTCTTCGATCGCGATCGCGACGTCGCCGTCGCCCGCTCACTTCACACCGTACGCCCGCTCGCTACGGTCGCTGTCGTCGCCTCGGCTCGCGCCGCTCGCCCACCGCGCATCGCAACCGCGGGGATCGTATCGAGGACGGGCTCTCTGGCTCGTCTCCGTCGTTGCCGCCGCCGGACGCGGCTCTCGGCCTCGGCGAGTCTCGCTTTGTCGCGCGCGCGCTCAGACCCGCAAGCGTCTCGCAACACGGGAACGGTGTATCACTGCGGCCGCACCACGTACATAATAACGCATACGTGCTCCGTGCGCGCGCACTCACGCACATAAACACGCGCGCGCATACGCGCGCGCGAGAGCACGTAAACTTGACGCACGCACACGTACGCGCGCGCACAACGCGTACGCGTAACGCGCTGCTCGGCGGTGGGACGGCGGCGGGTGAGACGGAGCGTTCGCGCGGCGTGGATCGGGGCGGGAAGAGCGGGAGCGGACTGAACTTACTGTCGTGTAAACACGAGCAAGTTCGGAAGTGTGACTCGTAGATCTCGCACGCGCTGCACGACTACACGCAGATGAGTCTCCGCCGTGTGCACCCGATCCCCCGTCTCCTCCAGCCCCCCCATCCGCTCGTCGTTGCGCTCTGTCTCGCTCGCTCGCGCCTCCCTACGCGCCGTTTCTCTCTCGCTCCAACGCAAGCCGTCCTCGTCCCTCGCACCGGCCGGGAACGGTGCGCGCGCATCGCCGTTTGTTATGCCAGTGCCGTACGAAGGTAGTTGAAGAAACGACGACGGGGGCGACGCGCCCCGCCCCCCTCCACAGCTTCTTTCGGATACGCGACAATTTTCTTTGTATCGTATCGAGTGCCGACACATAGGACCGTAACGTGAAAGTTTCATTTGCATTGTTTGTACGTAAGGGCCTGAGCAGAATGGCCGTCTTGTACGCTTAAGACAATGTTTTGTGTTTTAAACTCTTTGCCTTAAAGTAACGCACAGCAACTGTCTTGTGACTTAAGAAATACAAGCCAGCCGTTCTGCTCAGGCCCTGAGGATCGCCTTGACGTCTCTTTCCCTCGTACGAGGAAACTTCGACAAGATTCAGCTTAAGATTTATTTCTTTGTATAGAGAGAAAGTTTTCTCGAACAAATGGCATTCTATACCTTTGTCCACGTACTTTTGCTTAAAACGAACCGAGAATCGTCGATACGTAAACTGCGTGAGACAACGGTGGTCAGGCGGGTTTTCGCTAGATTTCGGATTTCAGGCAACATTTCGCTGCGACAAAAATTAAGGTCCGATTGCACCAACGTTACGCAATGTTAACTTTAGCCTAATTTACTTTCTGATGGAAACAGAGAGAGAGAGACGAAAGGGGAATGAATTAGGCTAAAGTTAAGCGACGTTGGTGCAGCCGGGCCTAACGTCCACTTCCACCAATGTAACTGAACTTTTTATCTCGGTTTAACTTACTTTCCATCTTTTTCCAACGCTTGGAACTGGAAAAAGATCAAACGAAAGTTAAACCGAGCTTAAAGTTAATCTGCATTGATAGAAATGGACATAAGTCGTCTAGAAAGTGTCATAAATAAATTAGTGCGAAAATATCGTTAGCCAGTCCAGAGCTCGCGGAAGCTAATGGCGAATTCGGTTGCACCAGTGCGCACTGAGTGCACGCTAAGGCTTCTTTATAGTCAGTTCTTACATTTAACTTTGTCGTAAATACATGTTCAAAGAGTATTTAGTCAAAAGTGACCGGTGTAAACGTTGTACAGGCGATTTTTCTGGATAAGAGATATTGCAAGAGGTATTTAACATGATCTTTAAGTATAAGAATTGACCGTAAACAAGGCTTAGTGTGCACTCAGTGCGCACTAGTGCAACCAACCGGATATTCGCTATAATTGCAATATTTTCGCGAGTCTTCCGACACTCGGTTTTCCACTTTCTGGTTAACCAGAAGTTAGTCGACTCTACACCCTTTTCTACGTTATTACCCAAGGAGAGACAGCGAATCGACTGGCCTCTGATGGATAACAATTAACCAGAAAATGGCAGGCCGGGCCTAAATCGAGCGGCTAATTACAATATTTTATCTCCTGTCCTGGACGTTGCGCTATTAGTCTCGTGTTATTAACGGATCGGCGTGCGGCGTAAAGCGCGTTATCTCGCCGAGCGGAGAGCCGCGCCGAGAGCCGGGGCGGAAGCGTTTTCCGCGCGGCCGGGATTATTCCTCGCGGGAGAATCTCCGGACATGTTCGCCGCGCGGCCTGCCGTATGGAATATCGTTGTTGTTAAAAGAAGAAAAAAAACGCACCGCGCGATATTGGGATAGGTCGATACTTCGAATTTGCGATAAAGGCGCAGGCGTAAAACAAGCGAGAAATTCTATCTGCGCGACGACACGCCGGTACGGGCACATTGTCGAATAAAGGACGAAGCTGTCCCAAAAAGGACTCGCGGCGACGGGGGATCGGCGAGGGGGAGGCGGGGTGGAGGGGTGAGGAAAAGGGCAAAGCTCTCCCCGCTCGCGCGCCCGCTCGCGCTACGGCACTGGCCGCAACACGGCGTCCGATTGGACCGCGGCCGATGCACACGCGCGTACACCTACACGCGCGCGCTCACGCCACGCACACACGCGGCTACGATACCTGTACGTACACGTCAGGTACTATCGGCGTGCGTACGTCGACAGTCCCTGGAAGCAGGCGCGGTGGACGTCGACGCGACGAGGGGGGAGGGCGCACGGCCGGCGGGGAGGCGAGGTGCGACGCCCGATCGCGCCCGAACGTCGGCGGACGCGTCCGACGCGAAATAGTCGACAATTGACGCGATAGAGAGTTTGGCGAGAAGGTAGCGGCCTCGGGTGGAGGGGGGGGGGGGCAGAGAAGGGGCGGGAGGAGGCACGCTGTTCTCTCGGGTGAACCGCTTCCCCTTTTTCAATTTTATCGTGCGATCGACGTCGCGACTTGGACGTCGCTACGCAAAATTAGACGAAATGTTCTATAATTCTGTTATGCGCCTCCTCGCCCTCGCTGTCTCCGTCTCTCTCTCTCTGCCCTCGCCCGTTCGGGCAAATGGCACCGAGAGGCTCGCGCGAGGCCCGGCGTTAACCGACGCGAGAATTAATCGCCGGACGCCGTCCCGAAACTCGGACACCAAAGAGCGCAAGAATATCGACTGCGATGATTACGGGAAGCCCCCGTTGCGACTTTACACGTGACGCACGGTTGATTCGAGTAGAAAAGAGAGGAGAAAAATAATTAAATTTCTCCGTGTTTAGACTCGTGCACCAATGGACGGCCCGGGCACGGTTACATGGGAGGAATTCCTCGAGAATGCAGAGAGATTTCTTGTTGTTTCAGACAAGATATCCGACGGATGGGAGCTCCGCGGGGACAAGGTACATCGTGTACTGTCGTGTACCGCCGAGCCGCTCGCTCGCGCGGATTACACGCCGACCCGAACGGACGCGGTAAAATATGTAGATTGAATCGTTTCATTAACATTGTTTATGATACTCACAATTATGCAATGTATTCGTGCGCCGCTCGTCGTAAACCTACGAAATGTCAAATCTCGGGTGAAAAATTAAAGCCCGGTTTCGCCAAACGTCGCGTAACTTTAATCTCCATTTAATTAACGTGCCTCTCCAAGGCCCGGTTTCGCCGAACGTCGCTTAACTTTAATCTTAGTTTAATTCACGTTCGCCTCTTTCTGGAGTAACAGCTGGAAAGGGACAAAGGACGAATTAAGCTGAGCTCCAAGTTAAGCGACGTTGGTGAAACCGGGCCTAAAGTCGGAAGGAGACAAGGAGCGAATTAAGCTAAGCTTAAAGTTAAACAACGTTGGTGAAACCGGGTCTTAGGCTCGCTTAACTTTGAGCTTAGCTTCATTCGTTCTTTTCCTAGTAGCGCAATATATTGGCGCGCCATTGGGAAATATGGCAATCTAATATTCCCAACATTGGCCCAATATTGTAAGACGGACGCCTCCTCTTGTTTAGCCAATATGCCTACTTAAGCCCGTATCAGACTACGGTTTGACTGAGATTAAACTGAAATTTCACTTGAGTCAGAGTAAAGTTTACTAATCTCGAGTTTAGTGACGGGAAATACTGGCCAATGCATTGCCAATACAACCAATATTGAACCAGTGTCCAGCCAATGCGCTGTGCTACTAGGATTCCCTTACGGAAAAAACACACAAGTGTTAACACACTTGAGTGTTTTTTCCGTAAGGGCTGTCTCGGCTTGTTTTCTGTTCCTAGTGCAATAAATTGGAGTAAGACAAGCATATTTTTTTCTCATTCTAGCTTACCAGTTCACCAGTGGAGGAACAGAAAACAAACCCCCACTGTTACTCTGGAAAGAGACAAACGTGAATTAAACTAACCCAGATAGCCAAGCATAATCTAGCATATTGAGCCAGCTACTGCACTGCATATGTTGTTACGTATTTGCTGTACATTTGCTGACATCGAAATAAATACGTTCCGAATGCAGCAACATGACTATACATGCAGTTGACGAAATTTCGAGAGCAAGCGGTCCGCAATATCTAATACGTTATGATGTCTGCAACGTATCAGCAATGAATGATTCATCGTCGACGCGTTGCAAACAACTTGCTATTGGAATTAGAATTCATACGAGTTCAACTTAACAGACATAATGCTGACCCCTTGTCCCGAGTTCGTCACAATTAGTTGTTGATAGCACAAGACACTCCTATGAACATTTGAAGAATATTCTTCAAATATATGATATTTCTAATTGTAATAATCTATTTATAGAATATTCGATTGGAATATTCTGAAATTAAGGATATTCGCACTCCAGAAGAATATTTATAGAACTGTGTGCTCCGTCTGGGTAGCATTTGGCTATCTGGGTGAGATTAAAGTTAAGCAGCGTTTGGTGAAACCGGGCCCAAGTCGTTTGAAATTTTGCTGTCGAAGTTTACAAATTAACGCTGGCGTGCTCCAAATGTGGCGTCGAGTGATGTACGAGCTACGCGGAGGGGGTGGTGGCAAAGTTACGGGCCACTTAAACGCGAGGCAACGATCGGAAAATACGTGTATTATCGCATACCGCGCGATATCCGCTGTCAACCTCAGCCTCTCTCACGTAACAAACTGTACACAGGACGTTCCCGGGCAAGCTTATCTGGTTAGGAGGGCCAAGTGCTTCGTGCCGAGCGACTCGACTGCGGGAGAGGACGAGGCGTGCGGCGACGACGCCGACGAGTTCCACGTGAAGCTTCGGGAGGACCCGCACGAGGCTCCCTCCGCGAGCGAGAGGCCCCTCGTCGTCGAGCACCACGTTCTGTGGTCCCTCAGCTACGGCGTCCCAGTTCTCTTCTTCAACGGCTGGAAATCAGGTAAAGACGCAGGCGGGGCGGCTACTCACCAGCTGCAAAGGGAGCTGTCGGGACGCAAGAGGAAAAAAGGAGCCGGTTAAGGCTGATGTTACATTTGTCGTACGACAAATTTTCTGACCGCGTTGACTGGCCACAGGCTGGACAATTTCTAGATACTCGACAACTCTTCTGTCCCGCAGCCAGTCAACACACTTGAAAAATTTATCGTACGACATTGGTACAAATTGGTAACAGTACGCTAAAGAGGGAACGGGGTACCGGCGAGTGCGCCTGTGTCTCCGAGAAGGGCGCGGCACGGGGCGGCCGTCCCGAAATTTCGAAAGTTGCGGGGCAAAATGGACGGCGCGGGGCTGGAAATTTCGCGGTTGCCGGCACCGTGCACTCGCGCTATCCCCTGCCTCGCGTGCATCGTTTTATTGATTATAAACGCAAACGTGTCCGACTATTTCAATATTCGCGCAGATACGCGGATACGGTATTAATTAATCCCGATAGCGCGTTTCGGCGGAGCGGAAATGCGTCATGTCGTTTAGATTAATTAACGCTGATTATCTTTCGCGTATTCATCACGGGCGGAGAGGAGGCCCGCGCGGCAATTGTCGTGAGAGGATCCGCGCGTTTTACTTCTCGTTTTGTCTTCCCTCCCCCACTTTTTTTTTCTTTCCTCTAGATTTCCCCGGTATCAACCCGGTGAGCGTGAACGAGGCTCAAACGGTCCACGGCGCCAAATTAAATTACACGGAATTATCGCAAGCGATTCACCCCGTCGTCGGTACGCCATTCCTGCAATTACATCCGTGTCTGTCGCAGGAGTTGCTGCGCGTCATGTCGAGGAGGTGAGAAGCGACGTTTAAGCAGCGGTTGATAGACTTAGAGCTGCCTTAGGGCGAGTCGATCAAGTGACCTTTTCACCCTGTGTAATTCTTGTATTTGTCGAAATGTTGCAGCAAGAACAGGCTGGTCAGCTGGCTGAGCTGCGTGGCACCGGCGGCCCTAAATCTCAAAGTACACCCGGAATACTTGGAACTCACCTACTGATGCCCTCTCCACACCCAAGGATGTTCCTGCTCGTGGCTCATCCGGCTGGAAAAGTTTAGACGGATACTTTAGTACGACCGTCACACCGAGGCATGATTTTGTATCATTTCACTATGATTTTCAACAGTTCTTACTCTCTAAAAGTCAATCAGTGGATCGTCACTGTTTCCGGTGATAATCCACTGATTGACTTTTACAGAGTATACAGAAATGGCACTTAAGTCTCGACACGGCGCATTTTTCCCGTCATCTACTCACTTGGATGAGTTACAAACAGACTTATCCTTACCGTAGAAAGGACAGGAAGCCGAGCGTCCCGTGGGACACTTCGATCCTGTAAACGTTTACGGGCGAGCATTGTTCCTTCTCTTCACGGTCCAACTTGTTCAAAAGAAGAGAAAGCTAGTCATATTTTATCTTCGAGACCCTAGAATCATTTGAATGGCCAGCGATTGGTCGCTCAAAGCATAGCTACCTGAGCATACACTTTCCGAGATATCGCCCCGCGTGCGAGGATCGAGGAGCCCGGGGAGATCTCGTCCCCGCTCGGACGTGCGCGAGTAATTCCAGTCACGAATATTCGATGGCGACGGCGATTCGAGTGGAATCCGCCCGCGGACGTCGACAGCGGCGCGGATCTAGCATTGACCCACGGCGGGCCGAGTAAATTGCTCGCAATTGGGCGACGTTTCGCGTCCGCGCGGGGCGGAGGGCAAAAGAGGCTGGAGCGTGGAAAAGAGAGCACGCAATTAATACGACCGCGCGCGCGCGCGCGCGCACGCCGCAATTAATCCGCACAAGGACGCATTTGCGTGCGGCCCCGGGAATATTCGTTCTCTCAAGCGCGCAGTTTTCGTATATATCCACGTGCGCGCGCGCACAAGTATGTACAGTCGGCCGCGTTAACGGTGTCCGATATACGCTCCTCGCCGATTTTCCTCGTCGCCCTTCGCGAACGGAGAGCCGGTGGTCAAGTCGCGCGATTGATCGCGTAGAGGAGATAGATCGATTGGCCGCGCGGGAAAAGCAATCCTAGTAGCGCAGTATATTGAGAAATAATGTAAATCTAGTGTTGCCAGTATTGGTCCAATATTGAAAGATGGACGCCCTCTCTTATTTAGCCAATGAGTTTATTTAGCAATATCGGTCTAATATTGTATCAATATTAGACCAATATTCTTATCAATTGTTAAATATTGGCACTTCCAATATAAATCCTAATTTTATATAATTATTATAGTGCAATTACATTTATTCCATGGACAATATTGGCCTTACGTTGGACAATGTCAGCCAATGCATTTCTAATAGAACCAACATTGGGCCAATGTTTAGCCATGGTGTACTGTGCTACTAGGAAACGTGGGAGGAGAGAAACGAGAATGTTAACGCGATCGATTGTACAGCATGGCTCGTTAATTTGGTTCGGGTAATAATTAGGGATGGAAAATTACATACAAAAATCACTTGATTATTTAAACATCGATGCTTTTCGACAGTACAACCCAAAGCGAATTAATGCGCCGCGCTGTACGCGACGCTCCCGTCCGCGGCGCGACTCGCGCTCGCGATACCTCGCATCCGCGCATTCGCGTCGCACGCGCGCGGCAGCGGTTCTCAGCCGAGCCGCGGCGGACGCGCTCGCCGATTAATAATCCCGTTAGCCCCGTCCGCCCCGTCGCCGGGGCTCGGCCCGGCGTGCGTTACGAGCGTTCGCTTCACGAAACACGTGCCGTTCTAAATTACAATGGCAAATGTATCATGTTATTCATGTGCGGCCTCCGTCCGGATGGTTCTCGCGTGAAAAGAGAAAAAAAAATGTCGAGGCTGTTCTTTATTCTCGGCGGCGCGAGGGCGAGAGAGGGGCGAGCTGGAGGCGCGTTTCGGCTCAATGGGGCAGCGCGATCCGTTCGATGTACTCGTCGACAGGATAATCCGCGTACGTAGCTTTTGTACGCGGATCGGGGGACGCTTCAACGTGCCATTCGTCGGATGACGTTTGTTAATTTCGACTACGTACTTCCATTATTACGACTCGCTAAGCTAATTTGTACTGTTTACAATTCCTGTTTATATTTAATTTATATAATAATATAAATGAATATATTAGATATTGCTTAACTCTTAATCCGTGCCCCGCGGCTTTCGACGGCTTCCGATTTTTACATTTGTAACCTTGTATTTGTGCGGTGTGTTTTGTAGTGTCTGAATTATTCCATTTTGCTTAGTAAACGTACATTTAAATGAACGTACGTTTCATGTATTCTCTCATTAATTCTGTAATTGCAACCCGTGAAATATTTCTTTTTTTTCTGAAATTACAAACTAACACGTATGCAGATCAATTATTTTTCGCAAGTCGGCGAAACGTTGCTTCATCGAGTGTACGTTGTTTGCATTGTAAAAATTTCCGATTCTTGATAATGCAGCGCGCTGAAATTTATTGCGAAACCAACATCCGCGACTCTTTCTCTCGAGCCTAATATCGCAGAATAATTTCTTCCTTCAATGCATAAGAAATTCTCACCCCGATTTTCACCAGCATCGTTTAACTTTGATCTTGGTCTAAATCATCTTTTGTTTCTTTCTAAGGGAACTGCTAGAAAGAGATAAAGGACGAATTGAACTCATTGTAAGTTTAAAGTTACACGACGTTGGTGAAAACGGGCATCGGTCCACGCCGCGGTTGCTTTCAACAGTAACCTTTGACAAATGTTCTCCCGCCTTTCAGAAAACTTTCGAAGGATATTTTTCGACGCTATTCTATTCGAAATCGTCAAGGCAATTTTGGTCACCTCAGCTATTACAAAATTCATTGGTCACGCATACAAGGTTAAATTCTCTCTCTTTCTGCCTGTCTCTCTCTCATTGTAATATCGTTTCAAAGTACAAATATAGCTTGGGACAGCGGAGCGAGAGCGATCCATCGGGGCAAGGAAGCGGCCGCTGGCTCCACCTACGAAGGCGCGACGAGTCGGAGAGAGAGAAGGCCCGTTTCCTCGTCGCCCGCGCGCTTTTCGAACTCGCGCGGGCTTCGCGGCTCGAATTACCCCCGCGCTCGCACTCACCGGCGCGGCGCGGCGACTCGCGATTCCGCGGCTACACGCGTCTCCGCGCGCAACAGGACCGAGTCGCCGCGTCACGTTGCGTCGCGTCGCGTCGCGCGTGCAGCCAAGTAGTCTCGCGACCGCCGGATACGGCAATTCTCCTCGTGCTATAGATACCCGTGCGAGTCACGCCCGAGCCTCGTTTCGTTTCCCGCGTCTCCACGAGACGTAGGTGCGTTGAAAAAGCGACGAGAGAGGCGAAACCCTCCGGTCGCTTTTCCTCCTTTTCTTGCCCTCCGTCGCGCGCGCGACGCCGAGTCCGGAAAATCGATAAAAAAGAAAGGGCGGAGGGGCTGACGTTCCCTCTTCGATCGCATCGCGCGCCAAAACGCGGATGCTGCGGCCTCGCCGAATTTCCACCGGCGACGGTGCGCGGCCGGCGGCTTCTCGCGGTCGTGCGTTCTCCATTTTTTCCCCGTCGAGCGTACGTGTCACACGCCGGATTCCGTTTCCTCGCCGCGGGTGGACCGACGACGCGGCCGGCTGAGATTCAAACGCTCGAGAGAGAGAGCGAGAGCGGCGGCGATGGCGGGCGGCAGCGGCGCCGGGCGCGCGCGACTGTAACGCACCGCGCTTATCCGAATTTCAGGAGAGGAGGCGTTTTATCGATCCCACATGCGTCGCGTGGGTAGTACCTCCTGACATCCGATTCGTTGCGCACGTCAGACGGAAATAGAGGCGCCCGGATAGAATCCGGGGTGACAATGAATTTCGCCATGGCGACCGCCGCCAAGTCGCGGAGGTGGTGGAGCAGAGGATAGGGCGCGAGCGCGGGATACGCGTCCTCCTCCCCTCCCCCCTTCTACCCCGCGACCCTCCGTGAGGGAAACTCGAGGGCCTCGGGCGAGAAAACCGCCGTCCGCGAGAGATGAGTGCCGTTCGCACCCTCTCGCCGGTCCCGAGCCGGTTCGCGGGGGATTCCAGCGGGTCCCGCGCCGGTTCTCACCGGATGGCACCGGAGACGGTAATGATGGCGTTATCCCTCCCCCGAAAATCGGCCGGAAAGAGAAAGGACCGCGACCTCCGACGGGTCGGCCTCCTCTTCTCCAGCGATCATTGAGGATACTCGGACGCGCGCGCGCGCACGCACACGCGCACGCACGCGCGCGTGAATTCAGCACGATTTTTCGCTTCGCCCGTCGCGCGCTCTGCCCGTCGATTT